GCTTCTGATCTACTGGCCTATTTTTCCTGCGTTTGTTGGCAAGACTCGGATTATTTATAATTAAAATACAGATATTAGAATAGCTATTTTCCTCAAAACTTAGAAATGCTCATGTGTTCTTTTCCTGACTTATAAAAGTAATATGTGAGTAACAGTGCCAATGTAGATAGTTTAACAGGCCTAGGAAAGTGTAATGAAAATAAAAATTACATTTTAGTCCACTGAGCAGAGATAAAGTGGTTAACAGTTTGGTTTAGCTAGCTTTTATTTTATTCTTTATTTTATTCCCTCTGTTGTCTTCTTCCTATTGGAATTTTAAGATGCCTATATGTTTTCCATCTTGAGAAAACGAAGACAGAATTCTTTTCTGTAATCCCAACTTTAAGGCATCCTATGTGTAGCTTCCCTTTTAGAGAAAACTTTTCCATAGAATTGAAAGAACACTTGCTCTTATCCTTTCCGTGTGGGGTCTACATTCACTAGGGTCTGAAAAGTGCCGGAGTAACCAGTGACTACGTTGTTGGGAACTTTGGTGGACATGTTTGATCATTTCCTCACTTGTCTCCCAGGCAGCATTTGGGTCCTTCTCAAAACACTTTTACAGGTTTCTACCTTCTCCTGTCGTTTTCCTTTGATTTTTGTGTTCACTCTTCAGTTTCTTTGGCAGACTCCTTTTCTCTACATGGAGAAAGGCTACACCTTTTTCCTAGAAGAATTGATTGATTCCATTGGTTTCCATTGTTTGTGTTTGGCTCAGATTTCTTCCCTGAGTTCCAGACCTGTTTCTCTCAACTCTGTACTGCACTTGATTATTGGGCAGATGAATGCAACATGTCCAGAACCAAATCCATTTCATCTGTTTCAAAAGGCTTTTCTTATCTCAGTGAATAGCATGTATCTGTCTGAGCCAGAAACCATTGTCCTTTTAAATTCCTCCATCTCCCTGACTTCTCACCTGGGCACAGTCCCCAAGTACTGCCCATACTCTGCTGAATATCTCTGCTCGATTGTTCTCCATTGCCAGTGCCACTAACATAACTCATTCCAGTGTTATCTTACTAGGGTTGCCTGTGACTGACTTCTAACTGGTCTCCTGACTGCTTGGTGTTCTGTCCGAACCTGCTTTATACACTGCATTAGAATGTTTTTTCAAAAATAAGTTTAATTTTTCTTCCTTGTCAGTGGTTTTCTTTCTCCTTAGAATAAAATCTAAATTTCCTAACTTGTGGTTCAAGGCCTTCATGAAATTGGTCCCCACTTAAATTTTAGCTTCACCTCCTCCCCATACTGCCGCCACCCTACCCTACCTGCTCTTTTCTGTGGCTGACCCCTTAGTTCCTGGAGTGGGCTCTTTTTCCTCTTCTAAGCCTTTACATGTGAGTACATTCGTTTGAGAACATTCTGTCTCCACTCCTCATTTACTAGACCAGGTTTTAGTCATCCTTCAGGTTTTTATTCCCCTTCTTCCTCTTCTGGCCTAGATTCTTTTGTATAGGCCGTGTACCCAGTGGTGGTACCATGTATTTTACATAAAACATTTCCTACTTTATGGCTGTTATTCTCAACTTTTTGGATTTAGGACTGCTTTACATTCTTAAAAAATTATTGAAGACCCAAAGACTTTTTGTTTATGTCATAGCTACCAATATGTACTGAGAGAAAATTAAAACAGAAAAAGTTTAAAACTACTGTTGTATTTAAAACTGCAATAATAAACTTGATTACGTGTTAGCATTATTTTTCATAAAAAATCTTAAAGTGAAAAGAGTGGCATTGCCTTTGCATTTTGCAGTTCTCTTTAATGTCTGACTTGATAGAATACAGCTCGATTCTCAAATTTGCCTCCATATTCATTCTGTTGCAAAATCATACTTCATGAACTTCTGGAAAACTTCACTGTACCCTTATGAGAGAATGAAAGTGAGTGAACAAGACAAATAAGGACTTTGTGGTAGTGGTGTTGTTGTTATGTGCCATCGAGTCAGCCCCGACTCATAGCGACCCCTCCTTGGGTTTCCGAGGCAGTATCACTACGGAAGTAGGATTGCCCAACCTTCCTTCCGAGGAGTGGCTGGTGGGTTTGAACCGCCAGCCTTCTGGTTAGCAGTCAAGCGCCTTAGGCACTATGCTACCAGAGCTCCCTATTAGGAAAATAGTTTTGATGTTGTAGACTCCTTGAATAGATCTTAGGAAGCTCTGGGTGTCCCTGGACTACACTTTGAGAGTCACTGCTTATGGAAATCATTTCATTATTTGTCTCCTCTTTGACTGTGTGCTATGAGAGTAGGATCCAGGTCTCCGTGCCTGGGACAGTGTCCTCCGTGTGGAAGGTATTCAGAGATCTGTTGATTGATGTGTGTCTTCAGTCATTTGCTCAGTTGGTTTGGTTCTCTAGGAATAGACATCAGACACTAGAGATTACACTTTGTATACAAGAGGATTGTAGTCTACGGGCATTTCTTTTACCAGCTCCATTGGAGCAGTTTGGATTTGGTGTTTTTCACTTAGTACCACAAGAATGTAATTTTTAGTTGGGCTTAAGTGTTTAGGAGAAAGCAAACAAATTTCTTTTTGTCTTAGATTTTAAAAACAGGATGCCTAGGTTTGTAGTAGAGTGATAAGATATAATGTAAATTAAACTATGAAGCATTGCCTTACATTCTAAAAGTAATTATTTCTGTTATTTCTATTTGATTGACTGGAAGGGGTTTTCTGGTAGCATAGTGCCTAAGGTACTTGACTGCTAACCCGAAGGCTGACGGTTCAAACCCACCAGCCACATTCCTCGGGAGGAAGGTTGGGCAATCTACTTTCGAAGTGATGCTGCCTCGGAAACTCAAGGAGGGGTTACTCTGAGTCGGGTCCAACTTGACAGCACATAACAACAACAGAAGGGGTGTGAAAATGCGTTGTTACTGTTTATTTGTTGTCAGGGAATTTGTGTAGGAAAAATACATACTAAGTATTTATTCTGAAAAGGTTATTGGGTAATCAGTAAGACATCTTAGTCTGTTAAATGCTTGCTGGGAAATCCCTCACCATTTATTCTGTGTGGACCAGGAAGGGTTTATACAGTGGGAATGAAGCAGGAAGGAAAAAATTGTATGAGGCATGTCCTACTAATTATGTGTATCTAGTTTCCATGAAAGCCTTCATTTCAAAGAAAAGGAAAAGATGTGCTTATTATTCCAACTACAAGTTCTGAATTTACAGCATGTCGTTATGGAGATTGCCATATTATCCACCCACCCTTCAAAATGATGAAGTGCAAACATGCTAATTATCGCCGTGCTAAGGTTCAAGGTCTTTAACTGTCTTTATCTTCACCTGCTTTGGAGCATTCATAGTTTAGTCATAGGAACTGAAACCACTAGGAACTTATTTTTGTTTTTTAAACAGAACTTGAACTTCATACACACATTTCATCATATTGTGAATTCATGACTTATTTATATAGCATATAAAACTAAAAAACCAAACTCATTGCCGTCGAGTCAGATCTGACTCATAGAGACCCCTTCTTGAGTTTCTGAGGCAGTATCACTATGAAAGTAAATTGCCCAACCTTCCTCCCGAGGAGTGGCTGGTAGGTTTGAACCACTAGCCTTTTGGTTAGCAGTCAAATGCCTTAGGCACTGTGCCACCAGAGCTCCCATATGGCATATACAGACCACCAAAGACCCCTGGTGGCGTAGTGGTTCAAGCACTTGGCTGCTGAGAACTCAGTGATTGAAACCCACCAGTTGTTAACTTAGGAGCTCTGGTAGCATAATGCTTAAGGCACTTGACTGCTAACCAGAAGGCTGGCAGTTCAAACCCACCACCCACTCCACGGAAGGAAGATGGGGCACTCTACTTCCATAGTGATACTGCCTCGGAAACCTAAGGAGGGGTCGCCATGAGTTGGGTCTGACTCGACGGCACGTAACAGCAACAGTTGTTAACCTGAGAGAAAGATGTCACAGTCTGTGTCTGTAAAGATTGCAGCCTATGGGCATTATGCTCTGTCCTACAGAGAGCTGCTGTGAGTCAGAGTCAGCTTGATGGCAGTAGGTGGGATACCGACAACTTAATAATAGTGGTAAGTATTTCTGATGGATTTTGAGTGATATTTTGAATGGAGACAAATGAGAAAATGACTCTGTCTCCAGGCACTTACTAAATAACTTCTATGGAACGAGTATTTGCTAGTGAAGAAACTTTTTGCTTGTTGCTGTTGGGGCCGTACTACAGTTTGAGCACGCACTCTCTAATAGAGAGGAAATGGGCTGCGATTTTAACATGCCCTTTAACCAAAGGGGTACTGAGGAGATAAAACTGCTTATACTTTGTGAGGTTGATTGCTGGCTTATAGGTGTCCCTTTTATGCAGGAAAATGTCTTTTTTACTTTTCTATTTATAGAGCATTTGCTCCTCCTTTGTAGGAAGGACCAGGTCCTTGGTAGGAAGGACCAAATAAAGCCTGTTTATTTGTATATTTTAACTCAACTGCTGACTTAAAGGTACTGCAGAAAATAAGCCTGGCAATCTGCTTCCCTTGAGATTATAGCCAAGTGCTTATGCACAGGGAGACAGCTCAGGGGGTAGGAGTGCATGGAGGGATGGACACAGGGAAGAGGTAACTATCGGGAGGAAGTGGGAGGGGAGATGTCGCATTGTGGTAAATTGTGGTCAATGTCATGAGACAAAGTGTATGTGAACTGCTATATGGAAAGTATTTGCTCTGTGAATTTTCACCCAAATCACAATAAAAAGAAAAGAAAAAAAGATTATAGCCAAGAAAATGCTATGGAGCAGTTCTGCTCTGTAATATGTTGGGTTGCCATGAGCCAGCATCAATTTGATGACAACTAACAGCAGTAACAACAACTATAATTTGCTTATTATTAAGGTGACACATTAAACCCATTTTTTTCCTGTAGGAGTAACTTCAAGTTCTATGAGCCAGTCATCTAAGCTTATTATGCGATAAAATATTTTACCCCTTTTCTTCCTTTTAGCACAGCGTTCTGAAATTTTTTGGTCATTGCAATGATCTTGATCGGCAGATGAGAAAGTGCCTGAAGAATGAGGTAAGAGAAATGTTAAAGAATGGAAGTGCGGCCTCTCCTCACTTACTGACATGGTTAAGTTCTAACGACCAGGTTATTACATGAAAATCAGTGTTAAGTGAAAAAGGAGGATGACTATGTCATCATCCAACTGCCAGATTATATCATTATATAACAGCCAAACTGCTGAGAATCATGGCCCAGTCAAGTAGACAAATAATCTTAACCGTTGTAGCCAGTGTTATTCTTGCCTTGCACCTTGGTGTTCATTATTGCCCGATGTATTTGGTTAATATGCAGAACAGTCAGATTTTTGACTATTGTCATAAATTCAAAATGTTGGGCAATAAGATAGTCACTAAGTGAGGAGAAAGTATAATTGAAGAATAGAACAGAGCGTTTTAGAACAATATTATATACTGCTGCTGTTATTAATGTCCCCCCCAATTTTTTGTATAATAGAGAAGATTGACTGATATGTATGACGTCCTCTAAAACCAGAAGTGAAAGCTGCTGTGCTACTTGGGGACAGTTTTAGAACATTGCCATTTTTTGGCTATGTACACAAGTGAAAACAACTTCTTTATTATAATTGCTACAACTCATCTAAATGGATTTTAAGGCTTGGAAAATTGAATCTATTTTGCAGAAGTACTTACATCAGCTAAGTATTAGCTGTGAACAAGGATTGAAAACTCTGGGCCTCAATTTCTTTATTTGTAAAATGAGGGAATTCGACCAAAGTTTTACAATTTGAAATTTCTTTGTCATTATCTACAAGCCATAGGGATCTTTTTTTGGGAAAACTGTCAACTTCTAAACAAGATTTTAGACTATTACTTGGTTTTGGACAAATAGTTGGAGTACCTAGTTTGTTGTCTTTTCCCAAGTGCTGCTAATCAAGCACAGTGGCATCTTAAGCTTTCGAAAAGAAATTTAATTCCATATTGCTTTGTATGGGAGCTTTGGTAGCATAGTGGCTAAGACACTTGCCTGCTAACCAGACAGCTGGCGGTTCAAACCCACCTGCCACTCCTCGGAAGGAAGGTTGGGCAATCCTACTTCCGTAGTGATACTGCCTCGGAAACCCAAGGAGGGGTCGCTATGAGTCGGGGCCGACTCGACGGCACATAACAACAACAACAACATTGCTTTGTATATCATGTTTTATGTGGACATTATAAATATATAACTATGGAAAAATCTGTCTCTAAATCTTTGTTTTCTCTATTTTGGGGCCTTTATTTTCCTTGTAAAGCTTCGTATAAAAGGGGTTATGTATAATGTTTGAAGTTACCCAGTACCTATCTTCATTTTGTGGCGTCTTCTCTCATTTATTCATTTTTCTCCCCTTCCTGAAATCTCTTTTCAGGTTGACACTTACCTTTACTGTTTGAAGAACTTTTCTGTGGTTCTGAGTTAGGGGCGATAATTTTCTTTGCATGTACAAATATGTAGTTGCATAAATGTTACAAAATTATTTTTTAGAAACTCTAGAGGCTAGTTAAATGGAAACTAAACCTAGGGCTCTGCCCCTGTTTTAATGTTGTTGTTAGATGCCATTGAGTCAGCTCTGACTCATAGCGACCCTGTGTACAACAGAATGAAACACTGCCGGCCCTGTGCCAGCCTCACAGTCCTTACTGGCCTGAACCCATCGTTGCAGCCAGTGTATCAGTCCATCTCATTGAAAGCCTTTCCCTTTTTTGCTGACCCTCCACTTTAGCAAGCATAATATCCTTCTCCAGAGATAGTTTCTTCTGACAACATGACTGAAATAGGTGCGATGAAGTCTGGTCATTCTCACTTCCAAGGAGCATTCCAGCTGCACTTCTTCAGTCTTCCGTATTCATTGTCCAGCTGTCACATGCACATGAGGTGATTGAAAATACCGTGGCTTGGGTTAGGCACACTTTAGTCGTCAGAGAGACATCTTTGCTCTTCAGCGCTTGAAAGAGGTCTTTTGCAGCATATTTGCCCAGTGCAATACGTTGTCTGATTTCTTGACTGCTGTTTCCACTGGTGTTGATGGTGGAACCAAGTAATATGAAATCTTTGACAACTTTAATCTTCTCTCCATTTATCATGATGCTGCTTATTGGTCCACTTGTGAGGATTTTCATTTTTCTTCTGTTAAGGTGTAATTCATACTGCAGACTGTAGTCTTTTATTGCATCAGTAAGTGCATCAAGTCATCCTCACCTTCAGCAAGCACGGTTGTGTCGTCTGCATATCACAGGTTGTTAATGAGTCTCCCTCCAATCCGGATGCCATGCTCTTCTTCATATAGTCCACCTTCTCAAGATAATTTGCTCAACACACAGATTGAATGAGTATGGGAAAAAGATACAGTCATGGCACACTCCTTCCTGATTGTAAACTATGTGGTATCCTCTTGTTCTGTTTGAATGACAGCCTCCTGGTCTGTACAGGTTCTTCATGAGCACAATTGTGTTCTGGAATTTCCATTCTTCTCAGTGTTATCCATAATTTGTTATGATCCACACAGATGAATGCCTTTGCGTTGTAAGTAAAACACAGGTAAACATCTTTGTGGTATTATTTGTTTTGAGCCAAGATCTGTCTGATATCAGCAATGATATCTCTTATTCTACATCCTCTTCTGAATCCAGCTTGCATTTCTGGAAGTTCCCTGTCAGTATATTGCTGCATCCGTTTTTAATTATCTTCAGCAAGATTTTACTTACATGTGATATTAATGATGTTGTTCGATAATTTCTACAGTGTATAGGATCATCTTTCTTTGGAATGGGTACAAATATGGATTTTTTACAGTCATTTGCCCAGGTAGCTGTCTTCCCAATTTCTTGGCATAGATGAGTATGTATCTCCAGTGCAGCATACATTTGTTGAAACATCTCAGTGGGTATCCTGTCAATTCCTGGAGCCTTTTTTTTTTTTTTTT